ACTCTACTGGTCATATTCCTGAACACTGTTACGGTAATCGAAGACGTGGGAAAAATCGCCATTAACCCAGACCGTCGCCATCTTGAAAGCGTAAAGGAAAGGGAGCGTCTAAGGTAGCTACGTCGCTTCCATCGATTTGTAAAGGATCGAGTAAGGAAACGTTACATTGAAGGAGTCAATATAAGGTAGAGTTGGTTCATGATTCGCATAACTGCGCCCACTTACGAAAGGAAAGGCGCTGATCTAAGGAAAGGTGGCTTTTTGAATTCGGAGGTGGGTCATCTGAACAATTTTTCAGTTTTATACAGCTGCCACACGGCAAAACTGAATGCAATATTTATCGAGTTCCATTAAGTGATCGGCATATCAGCTCGCGATTCTGACTACGAGCGTGTCCGCGCAATGCGTGGCGCCAGGACTGGCACGCGCTGATGGGCCGATCAGATAATACAATTCAATGGAAATGACGATAATTTTACCGTGTAACAGAGGTCGTGGTAACACGTTTTTTTTTTTGTTTTTCCGGGAGGGCGATTTTTATTTAATTTGTTTTAGTTGCATTCTGATTTCTCATTGCTTACTCTCTGCCGATTTACGTTACGGACGCTCCTCTATGCCTTCAAAAAAAAAAAAGAAACTCTTGAAATAGAAAAAATCCTTCGGGATAGCATTATTGACCTTTGAGAACAAGATTAGCGGCGAGATGTTTTGGTGGCGCCCTCCTATGGTTCCCTTTCGTGACGTCAGTACCTTGCGAACAGCAAGTTCGATGGTGTTCGTAATTAGCATGGTCAAAGCTTGAAATCACTGCGCTTTCAAAGCAACACTGTCAACACAGTCAAAATTGAGGGTCTTCAATTACTCTTATTTCCGTCGAAAAGAAGTCCTTTGCTGACGTCGTAGTCACACTCTAAAAAACGTCTGTGCGTCTACTTTCACGCGCAACACTCGGAGAGCCAATCAGCGCAACTTACGGAGGCAGTTCAGCCAATGACGATGCCGAACCATATGTTTAGACCAGTAAACGTAGTCTGAGTTGTGACATTAAGCAATACAAAACGTCACGCTTGCATTGCTTAATGTCACAACTCAGAGTGCGTTTTTTTGGTCTAAACCAAAAAACGCAGTCTGAACCAAAAAACGCAGTTTCGGCATCGTCATTCGCTGAGCTGCCTCCGTAAGTTGCGCTGATTGGTTCTCCGAGTGTTGTGCGTGAAAGCAGACGCACAGACTTTTATTAGAGTGCAGCATTCGGCCAATCGTAGAAGGCCGATCACAGCTACGTTTCCGAGCGCTCACGTCGCCAATAGCGCTTCAAAACAGGGACACAAAATAAGAACGAGACAACACAATGCGCTAACTTCAACTGTTCAATCGGCAGAAAAGCAAGTGTGTAAATACTCTGCATCATCGCGCCATTCGACCAAACCCATGCCACGCCAATGCTCGCAAGAACTGTGTCTCTTTGTCGCCCAAATCGATCCCCGTAGTTCTTCTTTATCAGGTCTGCCCCTATGCTTTCCATTACTGTCTATTTCTATGTTTTCTAATTAAATTGAAGTTTGCACCCACAGTCATGTCAGTGCATTGACAAATGACAGTTGAAGTTAGCGCATTGTGTTGTCTCGTTCATACTCTCGTCCCTGTCTTGAAGCACTATCATGTCCTCAAAGTTTCAGTACCAACTCGCCCAAGAATCCGCAATACTCAACATTATTGATCAATACGGACGTAGGGTTATTAGATCAATGTGGTGATTAGAAAAATTAATGACCTAAAATACACTACTTAACGTTTGAACTATTGACCTTGCTGCCATATTCAAACTATTCTTCTTTTCAGCCTAAATGGGCACTGACAGGTCAAAATAATCTTTTTTTATCCGACACGATTGAAAAAGATTAAATTAATGTAAGGGCTTAAGCGATCTGATGTACATTAAACATAATTCAAGAACCCCGAGACTACAGCTAACGACACACACACTCTGCGTGAACGGCTGCCCCGGCGGAGTCATAACCAAAAGTGTGCGTGTCGTTACCTGCAGCCCCGGGTTTTTGTATCATATGTATCATATGAAAACGATGCCTGGACATTACCGCCAAAATTCGAAACTTGGGAATTCCGTATTTGGGAAGTAAAAAAAAATAACAATTTCCAAAAGTCGAATTTGAAGTTTTAGCGCGATCCGCACCAGTGCAGTGACGTCACAGATTGAGTCGTCCTGTAACTACATGTACTCTCACGCAATTTACATATGTTGTTTTTCTTGAATTCTCTGTTTTGGATTTAATTTTATTAAGTGCGTGTCTCTTGCATCTCTGCAGCGCAGCAAACCATCACAATATACCATTTGCTGTATTACCCAAGCATCAATGAGAATGCAGTGATTGGTGTTCCACGCGCCACACGCGCACACCTTCCCCGTGTAAAAGATTCGGAGTAAATAACCAAAATAAAGGCTTGACGAACACGCGAGCAAAATGACATTTTTTCTAGGTATTTGCTTTAGAAAAGCTACTAATGCTGAGGCCAGCACGTGCGGCGCGTGAAACACCAATTCCTGGAGTCTCCTTGATGCTTGCTTGTGTAATATAGCAATAGGTCTATTATCTCACGCCCCGTGTCGTGTTCGCCCGCGTCCGCGATTAACCGCTCCGTGCGTGCCGCCTATTGCTGTGAGCAGAGGACCTGTCACTTTCGAGTTTGAAGTTTTTTTAGGGCTCTTTTACTGATCGTAAATTCTTTGAAACGGTGTGAGGTTAAAGAGAACGCGCAGTGGACTTTTGTGAGCGACGTGCGGGGCCACGTCGCGCCGGTTTCGCGTGGACGGCTGCCCCGGTGGAGTCACAACCGACACTACGATGTACCGACACCAAACCGAGTTGTTTTGACCGTGTGATTATTTCCTTTTCGAAATCTGAGAGGTCGTCGGGCACCTAAAAAAGAGGGGAGCTTGGTCCGATCCTCCACTCACCGATCACCCTCAGTGCTACATGCGTCGAGCGCCGCCATGTTTTCCGGGGGCGGATAAAAAAGCCAAGAGGCGACATCACTCCGGACTCCGATTTTCGGCATTTCAAAAAGAAGGACCGTAGTGCGTTAGCGATTCTGTAAAAAAAAAAAATGTTTTACGAATGTCGCTATTAAACATTATAAAAAAAAATGTCGCTTGGAAAACTTCTAAGTTTCGTAATCGATTACGTCACAAATGAAAAGAAGCGAGGAGGTGAGGAGCGGGAGAAAGAAGCGCCAATAATAAAAAAATGAAAAAACCGTGCGCTCTCGGGATTCTTTTTTTTTTTTTTTTTGCGTGTATCTAAGTACAAATGTCATTTTTTTTTACAACAAAAACAAATACTACCTTTGGGGTGTCAGTGCCCCTTTAAGTCAAGACGCAGCCGACGCTACGAGGTAATGGGACCGATCAAGCCGCACCAGAAGTGCAAGTCACTAGGCCCTTTCCGTTTATGATTGGTTCAGCGATGATAGAACTCGTAATACGAGGAACAACCACGATGGTGCCCTTATGACGCTCTCCGATTGGTCCCATCAGCTCGTAGCGTCGGCTGCATCTGCACTTACGCTGAAACGAAGTATAGAGATTTGCGGCTCGTCGTGAAAATATGCCATAGCGGTTGTCAGTATTCCGCCAGCTAAATTCTGCTCCGTTTTATTATGTGGCCAATTTAAACTGTGAGCACTCTAATGGCAATTTTCACTGGTCGTTTTGGGGAAATGACTGAAATTGAAACGGGGCACGCAATCCAGTAGTAGGAGTTGCGCTCCATACTCCAGCAGTAGAAGACGATCTCCCCCGAGAGCGATTCGTTGGTTCGGTGGCTGAGCGGATTTCGTGCAAGCAATAGGACAACACAGTTTAGATAGTAGAGTGTGCGGCAAGTAACCTGTTTCTTTTTATATATATATATATTTTAACTAACAATTTATTTAATGAAAATCAAGCCCGATGTACAGCTGATACTTCATTATTGCTTTAGTTACGTAATTACAGAAAGCGATTGTAATAGAGATTGTGTGGGCTAGAACGGTAAAATAAAATTACGGGCAATTTTAATGATTAAAAAAGTGGAGAAGAAAAAAAGCAAGAGCACTTTTACACTTTAAGAAATCTGGAGTATCTACTTTCCGGCAAAGCACTGCGGAGAGCCAATCGCTGCAATCTACGGCTGGAGATAAGCAAATGGACAAGCTGAAAGTACGTTTAGATCCAGAAGAAAGGTCCCTACTGTAACACTGAGGACAACATAAGCACGTGAAACCTTATGCTCTGCTTTCTATTATGTCTAAATGCATTTGCTGAGCTTCATCCGTAAATTACAGCGATTGGCTCACCCAAGGGCTTTGTAGGAAAGTAAGTAGGCACTCCAGATTTCTTAGAGTGTAACGGAAGGAGTGTCAGCAAAAACGACACCGGTTATGATTTTTAACGCAGTAATGCGTTGTATCTAGCCTAGCCTAGCCTAGCCTAGCCTAGCCTAGCCTAGCCTAACCTAGCCTAGCCTAGCCTAACCTAACCTAACCTAACCTAACCTAACCTAACGCTGCCGCAAAACTGGTTTCAGATCTGTGCCTCCTCATTTGCTCCCGGTCGGTGGCGTACACAAAGTCCTGCACTACGGCTTTGTTAAGGCCCCGCAAAACAGTTGTGGGCCTAGTCGGCGCTAATCAGTTTTATACAATATGGGCGTCATGAAAACACAGAACCACTCGATAACATAAGCAATGAAAACCTGAGTGCACTGACGCGCCACCGCGGTTCTTAGGGTGGCTAATTCAGTGTGGGTCCGAATTACCCAATATGGCGAATGCGCTGCGCAACAAAACACGAACAGGAAAGGTTGTCGGCAAAGAAAAAAACAAACAAAAAAAACGCGATACTGCGGAAACATATATCCAGCGACTATAAGCTAACCAATCGCTTGTCTTTCCCCTACAGAGGTAATAACTAAGAGCAAACAAGCCTGCTGCAAACGAAAATGGCATTCAAGGTGCTCGTAGTGTCCCTCCTACTTTTCCTGAACCGTGATCTATGCGGCGCTCGCAGTGGACACATTTCAAGAGGTAACCTTTCTTCTAGACTGATCAGTTTGCTGAGAAAATATTAAGGTAATAAACGAATTAAGTCTCAATCCATTTATGAATCGCAGATGGGCTTCGTAGACATCGGTTTCGAATCCAGGCTGCACCCCTGGCGCAAACGACAGAAAACGTGACGGAATGTGAAAGTCTGCAGCTTGCCAAAATATACACACACTGTTCGCTTCCCTTGTACATAGATCTGGTGGGAGAAACAAGAAACCTCACCGCCTCAAAATCCTGCAGGTGACTACACACACGCTATGTCCGCTATCAGACATAATGACTAACTTAACAATAAAAAAAAAAAAAAAAATTGAGGATTAGCGAACCGAGGTAAAGTAAAAACGCCTTGCTGCTCAAACTCCCCGACATTATTTGTTTGTTTGTTTCCATTTTCAGCCCCGTTCATGCTTTTTATCTCTGCCTGGAAGATGGTTTAAAAAATACGCATTGTTCGAACACCAGAAATCCTCTAACTCCCACGCTCAAGTTTTTTACAAGCAGCGTCCTGCACTCTTATACGAAGCGATGCAATCTTAGCAGTGATTTCGATAGTATCGGCCTGGTCACTACCACGGATCTAACATCTTCGACAATCAACCGGAGTTTGACGGAAAAACATCCATCGTCCCAGGGTTCTGTCACAAACAACAGTGCCACAGAGAGTAACCACGGGAACCGACCAAGTCCTATTCGGGGCCCTGGTGACGAGAGCAGCAAAGTTTCGGTGAATCCGCCAAAGGAATTAAACACAACGGTATTAGGAACCGCTGTAACTTCTGAAGGAAAAAAAGCGGTAAAATATAATTCGACAGATTCACTTAAAAAACGTAGTGCCAATGAGTTAAACCTGGATAAAGGATCGACCAAGAAGTCCAGCAAAAAAGACTCAGCACCAGCAGATTATTTTTTGAATACGAGCACAGAAGCGAGTTTGAAAGAAGCAAGTTCAGTGGAAGCGCGATTGGTAAAGCCGAGTCCGGGGCCTCGCTCAGATGCCACAAATGTGACAGCGAACAGTTCAACGAATCTAGTTAATGATCCCAATGAGCGAATGCGTATGCAACCCGCCGCCTGTTCGCCCTGTATTGACGTGAACTACACCTTCCCGAAGAACTGTGATACGTCCAATCTGCTACGACGTATGTTTACCTGCGGAGTTTCCATGCATAATTTTATTATGATGAAGCAAGACATTTGCACGTAAGTAAAGCGACACCGCCTTGGCGTCTTGAGTTGTGCCTTGATGTTGGTAAGACCATAGCTAACACATCTGCACTAAACGCCGAGCGTTGCTTATAAGTTACTGTTCTTCTTTTCAGCTGTTTTATGGGTTACCAGCAGTGCGTATTAAAAGCGAAGGATGAGCTCGGCTGCGTAAATACATCGGCACCAAATGATCCTGTTGTTGCTACAGTGAAACTTCTCGAAGGATTGTTGATGAGCTGGTATCAGAACCCTTGCGCCATTTATGGTGATGTCGACAAAGATCGAGGTAGGCATTCTACAACTAGACTAAGAAAAAAATCAGACGTCGATTTTTGTTTTGTTTTTAGACCGTTCGGACGGCTGCAATAGAACCCATGCCGCTGTTTCATCTGTCGTCTGCTACGCTACCTACTTCGCAATGTCTGAGCTTAAGACTCCAGCACCCTGGACAAGTACCAGTGATTCCTGCAGGTAGTAATTTTTAAGTAAATTTTGTTTAACTTATGTTGTTGACTTAGTTCAATGTCTCTGGTACGTTGAATACTAGCCTCACAAGCGTGAGCGACGAGGTTAGATAGGAACATAAAGGTGATTGCATGTGACTCCGAAAGATCTCTGACACACTGCCTTTCATGGTCTTTCAGTGCCGTGAACGATGTAAATCGCTGTCTTATCTCGGCCCAAAGAAATACCAACTGCACGACGTTTCCCTTCACCACACATTCAAGGCTGTTCCTGAAAGTGATCACTTCGGACAAACTGCAGGAATGCCCGTTAGATGCAGGTAAAATATGACTTGACCTCATTGTGAGTAATGTTCCAGCTCACATATCTCGCCCATACATAACTCCCAGGTTTTAAAAACAACCAGCCATCTGGCCCCTCTTCAAATCCCGGATGCCAGCGCAGCAAGGCTTTGCAGAGGGCCTTGAAGTGTGCTCTCAGCTTTCAGGACCTTGCCGATGTTGAGCGCAATTTCAAACCCCCCTCACCTGTGCCCTGCGGGTGAGCCCTGAGTCAATTGTTCCAATCCCGTGAATGTACAGCGACACAGACACTTTGGGCTTTCTTCAAGATTTGCATTTTGTGCCAAATTTCTCAAAATTCTGAAAAAAAAAACATTATTGGAGATACGATCGGTATACTTAGAAAAAGTACTCGAACACGCCGTTAAATGCGCGTTCGATTAATGCAATTTCTTTATGAATGCAATCCATGTTTTGCAGGCACGTTTCGAGGCTTCACACATGCCTTGAAGATTCAGTTGAAGGAACCGGTTGCTACGGCGACATTTCTATCCACTCCGAAATTAAGGTTTACAAAAAGGTACTCGAAGATGCTTATGACGCTCACTGCCTCGTCGATGACCGGATGAACTCCGCCCTCAGTCCACACGCTCAAGGAAAACAGTTTCTGATGAGGTCTCACGCCAACAAAGTAAGTCAATAGTGCCTAGCGGCTGAATCTAATGCAAGTTGCGTTAATGTTCTCAAACTATCTGCCCTTTTAAGCATTCTAAACAGTCTCGTCGAGGACATGGCTACCGCTCCTGGAGAAAGGATTTGGGCTTGTATGAAAGTACCGGGGACGAGAACTCTGGCTACTACTATGACGACTCTTCAGACGGCCAGAAACCAGTGTTTGCGGGACCCCGCATCATCTCAGTGCACCCAGATGACGCCGAGGATGATGTCGAATACGAAAAACTGAATTCCGACACACTTTACCAGAAGGTGCAGTCGAACCAGGAGAAGGTCGGCGGTTGGCGTCCGCTAACGGATCGGCAGCAGGGAAAGCTGGCCGCAGGCGGGAACGGCAGTGCTGCTTCTAATGATAGCACGGGTCCCCAACCTTTGCTCCAGTTCATGCAGTCCAACGAAGAGACAAAAGAACAGGTGCCAACGGCCGGACATTTCCCAGAGGCTCAGATGATGGCGGCTAGTTCGAGAGACACAGATGTGAAGCGCCCGAAGAGGAAGGGCGAAGATGATTACTTTTTTGGAAATGACGTGGAGAATTCGGAACTGGCGATGTTTCCCAATGGACTGGACATGTTCCGGCATTTTAGGGGAGACGCCATGATGAAGATGGAGAGTGTGATGGGAGGGAACGCGTCTGACTACAACGGCAATGGTGAGTTTTAATGATAATTCGTTACTTGTGTTAGCTGGATGATAAACTTGCATGATGCGGCTGCTCGCAGAATGTCCGCCCGCCAAGGTGAAACTTGCACTTGGTCTCTGCAACGCTACGCTAAGGGGACTGCTGATTAGATGGCCAAATGTCAGCGACATTGGACTTCCCCTCGACGGAAGCAGCTCGGGTGTCAAGCAGTTTTGCAGGTACTTTGCATGGGCAGATGTGACTTACCACGAATATCGTAGATGAAGAATAATCGGAAGAATTCAGACATACAGCTTGCATTTAGGAATTATTTAGATCGTCGTTTCTATTCAAAAAGCACAGTTTCAATGTTGTGTATTTTTATTTTAAAACATGAATGATTAACTGTCTTCAAATCTAATTCTGAGTTGAGTATGAGTAGTAGTTGTGGGGGCTTTATTGCTTGTTTATTTCGAAGCTGATAAATTCCTTTTGCTCATAATGTAGCGCTTGAACTGCGGATCAGCTAATCAGCAGTTCAAGTCCTTACAGTAGCCCTATAACCTCCAATCGTGCACCAGCCAGAGTCGTGAAAATGATCCTGTCAGCGTCTGTTCATGGGCGCTAACAAATCAATTAAAAAAAAAAAAAGACGTGGGCCTTCGGTTTTTGTTTACCTTTATTATTTTTTTTTATTTATATTGACCGATGTGGTTGTGAGCTCTGCGTCCATGAGTAAAGCGAGGGAGCCCCATGACGCATGATTATATACCAAAAATACTCGACTTTGTTCGGTGGTGGTGCAGCTTAAAAAATTGAAAGCGACAGGCGTATAAGGAGTATTCACTGGGCGCCATATTTGTGGGTGCTGTTTAAAGTGCATGCTCAGAACGAGCCCATATTAATCGGCTGCTAAGACCGGCAATCTTGAGGGTGCGGAATGCACGTTAAAAAATAACTGGAAGCTCGCAATCAGCACGCGCTCAGCAGTAGCGCACACAGCTATGGCCGCCAGTGAATACTTCAGTATTCACTTGCGGCCATAGCTGTGTGCGGTACGCCACTGCTGACTGCTGCGAGTTTTTCCACTATACACGGGTTTTTGAAGAACGACGCTGTGCCGTCGCTGTTCGCGTACCGTCCACCGGCTGCTCCAGCACGAGCGGCCGGTCGCAGCATGGGCCGCAGCAGCACTAACTAGCGTACATATCAAGGCACCTTAGCTTTAACAACCTAGACCGCTTGGGGATACCATCTGTCGTCCCATTACTTCTTTCTATTATGGTCCGCGAGCAAGAAAAGAATACAGTAACGCTGCGACTGCGCTGACCGTGTTATATTTATAGCAGCCGGATTCGCTTTTCGGCACGCAAATTTATAGAGGCACACTAATACCCCTGTCAGACAGGGCAGTAAACGTCATTTTGATCGAATCTCATTCACCGCTCGGTGAATCAGCTTGATGGTTCTGCACGTGGCGGTTGAACGCGCAATGTGGTGTATTAAACACACGGATTGGCCGAGCTGTAATGTCATTTTCCTTCAATCTCATTTAACGTTCCTGTCTGACAGGGGTATAATTCCCCTGTCAGACGGGCACGTTTAATGGCATTTAAGCAAAATGACATTACAGCTCGGCCAATCGGCGTGTTTAATACGCCACGTAGCGCGTGCACGCTCCACGTGCAGAACCAGGCTCGCGAGCTGATTCGCCGAGTGGTGAATGACATTCGATCAAAATAACATCTAATTTCCCTACTAGCCCCAACCAAAGTTTTATTTACTTTCCCGTCTGACAGGGAATATAACACTTACTACATTCGGTGCATATTTACTAAGTGGAGCGGTAAAAAAGAAAATGTGCTGACGCAATCCTCAGCTGACGCGCCGTGTCGGCGCGTCAGCTTAAGGGGTATTCACACGAGGGAGAAATCCCCGGGATTTCTCCCTCGTGTGAATGCCCCTTTAGGAGCGCGGGACGAGATCTACGTCATGCTATCGACGCGTAGCTGATTATCAGAGTCGCCAAGCTGCTTGGGCCGGTAAGCCCGTAGTTCTGGTTTCGCCGTGCCGCCGGCTTGGATGCGCGACATCTACAAAACTATACATGCTACCGAAGAACAAATTATATCTCATGATTCAGGGTCGCCGACCTCGAATAAACTGATCATAATCAAAAAATCGTAAAAATGTAGTGGAGTTGCCCTTTAACGTCGGCGGCATACAATCGGCTCTAGGTCACGTGGCCGTTTGCTCTTGCTGCAAGATGAGGGGTAAACGCTCCTCGTTTTTCTAAATTTTTTTCTGCCACTGCCCTTGCATAAAAATAATTAATATGTTTTATAGTTAGGTGACTGGTGCGGGACTGAAAAACTCCGCCTGGTCCTGGTATCGAACCAGGGACCTCTCCATTTGCAGTAGATAGGTTTCTGGAGTGCTTGTCATTTGTCCCGCTTTTCCCCATCTCCAGGGATCTCTATTGTTGTCCAGCTCACTTGCAGCCTTGCATTAATTGCATTATCATCATAACCTTAAAATGCATGCTGTTCACCCTTGTTGGTATTAGTCTGGTGGCGGCTGTTAAAACCCGTTTGCTGTACTGACGTCAACCGAGCTAACTCCTGGTTAGACCAGTTGGTAGAGCGCTCCACTTGAAATGGAGAGGTCCCTGGTTCGATACCAGGACCAGGCGGATGCTTTATAGGTCAGTATACATGACACGGAATAATTCTAAGTGGTATTTACTGAGAGTACAGATATTGTTGAATTTCCCCTTTAAGGCTGGAGCACACTTACGAAAAACTATCCAAAAAGAACATAAAAAACTAACATCATAAAAAAAAATTAAACACAGGAGTGTTTTATGCGATAGGAAAATTGCAAATGTTTCTCGCGAATTCATATTTTCACTTGGAGTACGGCAAATATAGGCTCGTTTCTCGAAACTAGAATGAAATGATTTTCGGACGGATTTTCGTTCATGCGTTTTAGGAGGGCAGTGTTATAAACTGAATCCGCCAAAATACCGAAAACAGTAGATTTCAGTTTATCACCAACTGCGACGATATACTTTACTGTCACGTTTGGCTACACTCTGCCTCGATTAGGTAGACTTGCTTCAACTATGGCGTGCGCGTTGACTCCCAAGGCTTGTGATATTTATAAAACGTGACATGTTTATGTTTCGTTTCAGTGACCTGAATACTTACAAAGGCTGCCTAACCGCAGTTTTAAAGTCGTACAACTGCGACCGCGGCGACACCATCAACAAGATTTTCGAAGTGTACAGAAAAAAGATCCGTCTACCGTTCTGCACCTCGTCCGCACACTTCTGCCACTTCTCGTTCCAAATAACTCTTATTGGCTTCTTAACAACCCTAATGGCGAAACATTTATAAGCCACCGAAAAAAAAATTAAACTACTCAGAGCTACCTTTCGTAGTGACTCTGGACTACCATTGACCAAGCATTTTAAATAATAAAAAAAACTGAAGTTCTCAACTTACGTTGTTCGCGTGTGTAAGAATATAATTTGAACAAGTATGCAGTGATGGCTGTGGCTACGAAGGTGGTTCACTGGCTGATACCCTAGTCAAAGGCGGGAAGAGGGGCAGCGAGGTCTTCCACTTGTCCCCCCTCCAGCGCAAGCTTCCTTCCTTCAGCAAAACTTCGGCGCCTCGTGAGCTCCGAGCGTGCCCACCCGCAGCCAATAAACAACGAAAAACAACGAGCGCTTGCTGAAACAGTAGTCGGTCAAACAGTAGTGGGTTAACTCTTTGTGGTACAAGAATTTATTCAGCTTGGGATTTCTTTCGTGACGCATTTTCATTTCGTGCGATACTTTCGGTAACTTTTTTATTTTTTTTTTATTTCCTACTTAAACAACGGCAACTTACTGAAGACTTCTCTAATAAGAAAGACAGTAGAAATATGCAGTAAATGAACCGTGCTGATCGAATGCGATGGATATGCTACACAAAGCCACGGAAAGACTAGATCTCTGGCGATGCCGAAAATCGAAACCGGGGTCTCATTACCGGTGAAATACTTTGATTGCTTTAGGGACCACAAATGAAAATGATCTGAACAAAGAATAGTATACACATATACGTATAAACCATAGAGTTATTACAATAAACGCTAGAGGCTCAGCTGGCGCTAGTGTCTATGGGACTTCCGGTTGCAAATTGAAGCAGACAGCATCCAGTCTACTTTTCCAGTCTTCCTGTGTATTCCTATGGGAAAACGCGCGTGAATTTTGTCTCGTCGCCGGAAAATAACATTAATAACTTTTGTTATTTCGGTTGTACCGGGTAGTATGTACCTTTATTAATATTGTGAAAGTGTAATCGCTTTAGTTACATCATTTTTCCTTTACCAATGAACGAAGACCCAAACCTCTGTTCCATGGCAGGTATGTAGAAACGAGCGACGATCCTAAGCAAAACAACGATCGAAAGGAATGTAGAGTGTGTTCAAAGTTAGCCAGCATTCCGTTGGTGCTTATATATTGCTAAATGCCTGACCTCTCACTATATGAAAATGACCCCGTTGTGCATCTCTACGAGCGGTTAAAAAAAACGTTCGAAACGTAAAGAATAAAGTACGTGGGCTACGAAAGGTGTGTTTTCTTATTATTTCCTATGTTGGGCAGTTTTTATCGCGCACCTGTCCACTGGCTTTCCCCTATTTGCAAAGATTTGGAGCGTGCGGGTGATGATTTGAACACAGAACAAGCATCTTCGCTGAGCAGAAAGAATAAAGCAGTACTTATTTATTGCAAATCGGACTATATTACGTGACTTTTAACTTATTTTGATCGTCTGCAAGCACAAGGAGTTACTTACCCAGTGTTACTGCGTAGTTCTTGCCGTCTCTCTTGGTTTTCCACATGTCGTTCGTTCGTTTGGCACGTAAATCCCCCATACTGGAAAGCGTCGACGCCGTGTTCGCGCTAACAGTGTCCGACAGTGCACATAAATACACGTACGAAGCGGTTTTAACACCGTTTTTAATGCCGCGAATTTCAAATAAAAATGCTGTAACTGGCCAATTATTTCGTCTGCGTGACTGAGAAATGTTCCAATGTGCCTAGTACGTACAAATTATTCGTGATATTTGCTCTTATAATCGAGCGCAGAGAGAAAATGCACTCGCTTTTTCCCATAGACATGCATTACCGGAAGTCAATTTCTGACTGCTTGCTGTCTGCTTCAATTTGCAACAGCACACTAGCGCCAGCTGAGCCTCTAGCGTTTATTGTAATAACTCTATGGTATAAACCGATCGATCTTCGATACACCCTTTTCAAGAGTCCATCGAGCACCATTGGCAGTCTCCAGTGCTTGGAGACGTTGGCTAGGTGGCGCAAGCTAACGCCAGTTACAAAGGGTATAGGCATTAATATCCATCCATCCATTCATGGACACGAAGCGCGTGATTGGATCCGAGTCGTCGCTGAACGCTGACGCAGCGCTCGTTCTCAATAGGAGCCGAGCCGAGTTCACGCCGAACAATGACGTAGGCCTCGTGTCCAGTACATGCTCGGAGCATGTGACGAAGGAATGGCGTACAGGCGTTGGCGCGGACTTTTGAAAAATGTTTATTAAACTGACACTCTTGTATTTTTTAAGGCCTAATCCAATGTAGCTGGGTGTCAATGAAGTGACTTGAGGTTTTTTTTTTTTTTTTAGAAGGTATTACACCTCATTCACACGGCCAGCATAAAGGTACCCTTAATATAGGTTCTTTTGCGGCCGGCGAATCTCTTGGGTCGCGAGCTCATGCCACGCGCGAGGGATCGTGAACTAATCCAGCGCCGACCATATAGGACCCATAGCTATAGACGCTTTACAGCAGCTGTGCATGGGCGCCACCATAACTGACCTTCAGTTTTTGTTTTCGCTTATACTTTTCACTCTGCTCCATCATTACCACAGAAGGACAGTTTACTGGCATTTTAGATACGACGGTGTCTTTTCCCCCAGCATTTGCCTTTGTCGAGGCTCGCCAAAGCCCGCTTCAGTGGTTCGATATCTCGGTAAGACAATAGAAGGTCGACAATGGCGTCTGTAATCTGACGCGTGTGTAAAGCGTCTATAGTCGGATGCAACCTGAGAACAATCTTTTAGCTCCACCCACAAGCGCATTGCGCCCATCTGAAGTGCCTCCGCCGTCGAGAAAGTAGTTCGCTAGCAACGTTGCTTTGTCTTCCTCCAGGAAACGTGTCTTAAACTACTACAATATTTATTTAATTCATTCAGGACATTTAAATAAGTTAGAATACGTTTTTGTCAACGAAATAGTTGTTTAGTAAAGAAAGAAAGTCATGTCCAATGTACCGTCTTCCCAGTTCCTTTTCTGTCCAAGATACTGTCTAACATACCGTCCTCCAGCGCCTCACCTGCGACTGATAAGCACAGAAATCTCAGCTCACCCCGCGGAAACCACAGCGAATTGAAGCAGCGGTGCCGGTACTATGCTAAGTAGCAACGTGGTGCAGAGGCGACAGAAATCCAACGAAAAAGACAACGTCCGGCGTAGCTTCTCACCTGTCAGCAGTGCTAAGCCTCGCGCCCGCTTCGAAATTTTCGTTGGCGATAGCGTCGCTGGATTCTCACGTTGTCGCGCAAAAACTGCTGCAAACGCAAGCCGATACCATTAAGATTTCGTGGCGTAACCTCGGGCACGTAAAACACGGTGCAAAAAAGCAGAATAATTGTCACGAGAAACTAGCGTCGCGTTGCTAAGGCCAGCAGCCATGTTGAGCTTTTTTTTTTTTCAAAAGGATCGCGATTGGTCCACGGACGTGACGTCATGAAAACGATTGGCTGGCGTTTCTCGCCGTAGGATTACATTTCCCTCTGAGAGGCATTTCCGGTTTTTTCTTAGCTTGCAACCGACTATAGATGTACCTTTATTGGTCGTGTGAATGGGCTTCTAGTTCTGCACCCGTTTATGTTTCCAAAACCATCTCTCCGGTCAGAGTGACTAGTGCTACGCGAAAGCTGGGCAGCCAGACGGGATGATTGGCGCCTCTCAGCCCCGTCTTTGCCATCACGGGTGAGCAACGCAGCAAACGATAAATCCGATCAATTCCCGGCCGCATTTTTCTGAGGTAAGGTGTCATCCATCTTCGTCCGCCCAGTCACTGGAGCAGCTCATACAATGCACAAAAGAGGTCAAATGAAGCGTCATCATCCTGATTCCACCGTTGGTCGACCTTCTAGGCAGCTCTGCTTTGCGCGCAGTGTTTGCGCGTGGCCGAGTCGGGTTTCAGGGCTTGGGTTGGTAGAAAGGATTGATTGCCTGAGAGCGTAGGTTGGTGGAAAGGATTGATTGACTGACAGCGTAGGGGTGGTAAAGCAGGAAGGACCTAGCAGCGGCCTGTACTCGAAGTATTGAGGGTCATAGACGGACCACAGCAAGCGTTCGGCGCATGCGTGACGCCACCATAAGTTTAGTCTCTAGGAGGCAGAAGTCAGTGCAAGCAACGGCGCATGCCGTCTCGTGCTCTGCACGCGCAGGGCTCCAGCGAGGTTGTTTCGAGTGCTTAGGCTGCGGTCCCACGGCAGCCATCTTGAACAAGGCGTTAGTTCAACCAATAGATGGCGACACGCACCCGTGGGGTGTAAAGCCCCTTGATAAAGGCGTTTTTTACAAGTACCGCCAACCATTGTTGTGGAAATGCGCGAGACACGTGCCACGAGCGGGTGCTCCGCCGCCATTCGCTTCCTAGGGCCGCTCATTTCAGTGCTGCGCCGCCATTTGCTTCCAAGGGCCGCTCGAGACACGGGCCACGTGCGCTCGCGCGTTTGACGCTACTTGCAAGACAAACAGAAACATATCGAGGGGCTTTAGTGGGGTGGCCGAAACATTGGATCATACTGGGATACCTCGAGCACCATCACGTTCCCCTCGTGGCCTTGCTCGCGCCGCTGCCAGTTGTGCTCAGCTTGCTCAAGTAGCGTGGCCCAGCAAACAGATGTGTCAGGCTGGGTATAAATTGTTCTCTGATATAGGGATATGCGGTTCGGCGGTTGTAACGGGCTTTCGCAATAAATCTTACCAAGAAGGAATCAAATGTTGATTGACCTGTTAATATTCTATCAATGAAAATTTCCTCTGCAGGAATGCACGCTCAGTAGACTCAATCTTCCAAGACACCAGTGGAAGCGGACGTCAAGTAAACTGCTTCGCGATTTTCGGTACTTACCTCACCATTTTAATGACGACTAAAATAACGTCACGAAATATTGCGTTTCACGGGGTCCGGAAGATGTTGTAAAGGTTGTTACATAATAGGTTCCCAGAAACTTTCTGGAAAGACTCGAAGTCTTCCTTGAGTCCAACGCCATCATGAACAGTAACTGAAAACGATCCACTATTCAGTCGGTGG